AGCGTTTAGGGTTGAGGGTTTAGGGATGGTTTAGGGCGTACGGTTCAGGAGCTTAAATTCAGATGCCAGAATATTTCCTGCAAAGCTCTTGCTGTTCAGGAACTTAAATTACAATGCTATAATACGGGTACATAGGGTTTAGGGTTTACCATAAGCTGAGTACTTTGTAGATAACATTTTAGCAACCTAGTTGAAGTTCCGTGACAGCACTCGACGTTACCTCACGTGGTTTCGGGTGTGGCATTTTGGGTTTAGGGTCTCGTGTTTGGGGTTAGCGGTCTGTAGCTTTTCTGTTCTGATGGAGCCTCTTTTCGACCGTCAAGCAGAGAAGCTGTTATGAGTAGGCGCAATCCCAAAACCCAAAGCCCCAAACCCTAAACCCTCTCGCATCACTTGACCTGCGACGAGCGAAGATGCGGATAATGCCCACAAGGTACACGCATGAAGCAAGTCAGGTAGCTCTTGATACTTGGTCCCTACGATTATAGGGTTTAGGTTTAGGGAGTGATGGGCCAAACCCCACCTGTTTCAATTATATTGGGATAAACGACTATAACGGAGAATCAAATGGAAAGGGTAATGGAAAATGAAATTGAAACTACTGGGATACCATAGTATATTCTGCCTCTTTTTGATCTTATGACTTGCGTTCTTCAATGCGCAGTTTGACCGTTCTCAGTGAAGTTCTCAGCCTTGCTAGAGCTGGTGTTGCTATCATCTTCATCTTTACCCAGCTCCATGCTTATTTGGGCCCCAAAGTCTATGAATAGCAGCCACTTTGGGTCATTTCGGCAGCCCTAGGGTCAGGCCCTACATGGTCTCTTGGCACAAAGCTTCGAGCACGGAAGCTTGGAGGCTCGGTGCCTCATCCGGTGGGCAGGACACGCTGCGCGGCACCTGGACTTTGCTACATGGTTCTGGGTTTATGGGTCATACAGGGTTATGATATTCAAAGATTATGTATACCTGAACCCCTGAAGTATGTAGAATCCTTTTTGGCTCCCTTTTTGCATGCTTTTTGAGGATTTCTGAGACAGTTTTTCACTTACGTACGAGGTCCAGCTGATAATACTGAAGCTACCCCTAGGGATCCAAATAGCCCAATGTAGGTAATATTTACAGACTTTAGGGCCCAATGTAAGTAATATTTGTGTACATGGATCCCTAGGGTACATAATGCGCATCAAATCTAAACCCCATGATGGCTCAACTCAATCTGATCCTTACGCACTGGCGGCAGTGATCTTGCAGAACGGAAACTTACTGCCCGTATATGTTATACTAGGGGCTGGAAGCTGAAATTGTGCGTTGAAAGTGTGCAACGATCGCGAAACAAAGCATAGCCACCGCCATGTGCAGTACCTGTAGCCTTGATAACCGAAAAAGGTCAAAAGGTCTTGATGCAGGATAAGACTCTAAACTCTAAACCCGTAACACTAAATCCTCAACCCTAAGCCCTAAACCCTAAGCCCTATACCCTACACCCGTAATTACCAGAAGTCTAGAGGACCATCTGAGACATTCCACATCTGCCAGTCTTCCATACATGGGGGGGGGGGTTAGGGTTTAGGGGTTCAGGGTTTAGGGCTTATGAATCCCAATATACCACGCAAATCCTTACTTACCACGGGGTCCTGCAGCAGGGGATCCCTAGTTCCTTGACTACCCCTGAACCCTATAGATCCGTATATGAGCTATAGTCTAAACTCCTAGTATCCACCAGGGTTGAGGATTTAGGGTTTAGGATTTAGGGTTCAGGATTTAAGGTTTAGGGTTTAAGGTTCAGGATCTAAACTCCTACCTTAATAAGCCCTATAATACTCCCCTATATAATCATCTATATAACCCCCCTTAAGGAGTTCAGATAAAGGCTCACATAACACTTATATACCCCACCAGATGCCTTCAAGAATCCTTCTTCTGGGGATCCCCCAAAAAGAGCCCCAAAGTTTTTGGACATGCCCATCTGTTGGTAAATAATATCGGAGCGTAAGCTTGTCACAATAAACATGAAGCTCTCGCTGCTTCCGCCCAAATCACCCCACCCCCCAAACTAAATGGAACTCTTTACAAACTACGCACAAACTACTGGCTTTGCGAAAGGGAACTATTTGGGGGTTCCATGGCTTGAGGAGTCTAGGTTTAGGGTTGAGGGTTTAGGGATTGGCAGCAGGGTTTAGGGTTTCGTGATTAGGGTATGGGGTTGAGGAGTTTAGGGGTTTAGGGTCCGCTAAAGTCTTAACACCCAACCCCCCCAGATGCGGAAAACGCGATCATGCAGGTCTCTGGGGCGTAGGCGGCATTCGGTTCTTCGATCAGCTGTCCCTTGCCTTCGGACTCAACGTTTCGGGATTGGTGTTGAAGGCTGTCAGGCTTTCTAAGAGCTGCTGTAGTAATGCGCCATTTCTTGATACCCCTCGTATGGATCAGGTTTTGATGCTCAGAGCACAACATATGCCTGCAAAGGCACTGCAATCGGAAGTCTACAACCTAAACCCTAAACCCTTGCCTTTGCCCTTGGCTAACGTCTTTGGGGCTCACGACTGGCATGAGATTAGGGATCCTACATAAGGCCAGGGGGTTGGACTCTCCCCGGAGCTTCTACTACAAAAATGTGCGGTTTAGGGTTTCGTCCAAGCCTCTGGAGCAACCTCCTAAGCCCCAAACTCCACCCTGCAGCGAGAACCTGACAACAGGCAACACAAGTTCTGACAAGAAGAAAGGGACCGCCAATCACTGGGCACTCTGGCAATCAAGGCTTTGCTGATTCGATGGTGACGAAATCTGGGTGATAGAGCAAGAAAATATGTAAGCCAATGTAGATACTGGATCTCTCGCCTCACATTTTGTGAATGACACGGGGTGGCGAACTCCACGCCGTAAACCGGTAAACAACTCTGAAGCCTAAAGCCCTCAAGCATCCTAAAACGACGTAAGCGCAAACTCTGAAAACCTTAAACCATAAACCCCTATAAACCCTGAAGCCCGGACTCAAAATCCATAAGCCTGAAACCCTAAACTCTAAATCCCTAAACTGTATGCACGCCCTAAACCCTAAACCCTAAACCACACACCAGCGCAGAGACCTGTTCTATGCCAGGGCCCAGACTAAGTTCATCCTCAGGGCCTAGGATGCAGGGGTCAGGATGTATTCTGGGTTTAGGGATTAGGGTT